CCCTTAAAGGCAGAAGCTCGTACTACATCCGGTTCGCCCTCTATTGACACAGTCTCTAAACTTTCCGATCGCACCTCGTAGACTACCCAGCAGGCCACAGTATAAATTTTCATTGGCACGAAAACTCCCATCTCATTTCGTCATGTCTTTGTTTTCAGATTGTCTTGCCGTTGATGCCGAGATGTTGCGCCGCTAGCAAGATGGCTACACCCTCACAACCTCTTCTCCTCATTATATGTGTGGCAGCTCTGCTCGCGTCGGCCGCCAAGGCGCTGGCTTTCTGCCCCACCGGCTGCACCTGTGATGATGACACGTTGGTGGTGACATGTATCGAGGCCAACTTGGACGTGATTCCAATCACACTGAACCCTTCTATCCAACGGCTGGTGCTTAAATACAATCGCATCAAGACGGTGGACGCTGCCTTTCAGTTTTACGGTGAGCTCAAATACGTGGATCTGTCATATAACCATTTGGTGAGCATCCACACGAGGAGTTTTGAAGCTCAGAGGAAGCTGGTCGAACTCCATCTCAATCACAACAAAATTTCGTCGGTGAGTAATACGACGTTCGTGGGTTTGAGAGCCCTTACTGTACTCAGCCTAAGGGGTAACTATCTGGAGGAACTCCCAGACCGTCTCTTCAGCCTTCTTCCACAGTTGGAAGAACTTGATCTAGGTCAGAATCGAGTGTCACGTGTTGATCCAGCCGCATTTGCTGGCCTGACAGCTCTGAGAGTGTTGTACCTCGACGATAATCAACTTCGTGCCGTGCCTACATCATCCTTTGTCGAACTCAGTAACCTGGCCGAATTAAAAGTGGGACTGAATGCATTTACAGCGCTACCAGATGACGCATTCCATGGGTTAAATCGCCTAACTAACTTGGATGTTAGTGGAGCCAGCTTACAAAACATAAGCGAGAATGCTTTTCGAGGCTTATCTGTGCTCAGGAGCCTTGGCCTGCATGACAATTGTCTGCGGGTCGTCCCAACACGCCAGCTTGCTATACTCCCTCGACTTGAGGAGCTCAGTGTCGGGCAGAATGAATTCACTGCCTTGGAGGCTCATGCATTCCAAGGCTTGGAGAAACTGAAGCGACTTGACGTATCTGGAGCCCAACAACTCGAACGTGTTGAGAAGGGCGCCCTTGCCGATAATTTGAACTTGGAGGCACTTGTCCTGAGTAGTAACAAAAAGCTGTCGTCAATTGAAGAGGGTGCCCTTGCAGGTCTGCCAAATCTTAGGCACCTGGTGCTTCGGGACAATGCTTTCACCACCTTCTCTGAGCCATTGGCCACATGGCCAGAGCTGCGAAAACTAGACCTGGCAGAGAATCCTCTGGAGTGCAGATGTTCACTGTTGTGGCTCCGTGATCTCCTGGCACGTCGAAATGCCAGCCAAGTCTTGTGTGCAGCACCCAAACACCTCAAGGATCGACCTCTGAAGTCACTGTCAGCAGATGAGTTGGGCTGTGCCCTCCATGATACCCGGCAACAAGCCATTATTGGCGCACTTTGTGGCACAGGAGTGGCCCTCATAGCACTGTTAGGAATCCTGCTTTACCGCTACAGACGCCGCCTTCAAGATGCCCTCAAAGACTACAAGTGGAACAATCGTGCCATAAGCCGAAAGGAACACGAGTATCAGAAGACGTTCTCTGACGAGGACTACATTGTGCGTGCAGCTCAACAGCAGAGTCTCAAGCCAATACCTGTGACGGAACTGTAGCTAGAGCTCCTTGCCTCCAGCCCAGTGCCCAGTGTGTTCTTCCTTCCCACAGGGGGACCTGGAGGGACGGAGGCCAAGGTAGGAGCAGGGTCTGCTGCTACCGCTAGTGGTGGGCGGCGTTCTACCCGATCTGGACACAGAGGCACCAACA